AATTACGAGGAAAAAAATAATATGCTACATCAAATTAAAGCAAATTGTTCACAGTTTCTATATCGAGATGCTCTCTTCCCTTGGAATTTTATTTTATTTTTTCAATTGTCCCCACAACACATGGGAAGGGGCAAAACATCTAGCCTTGCATAGAAAGGCCAAACCATTATGTGTAAATTAGAGATAATGAAGCAAATATGAGTATAATCTCTAATTTCAACGAGGAAAAAAAGGAAAAGGTTCTTGAGGACCTAACATGGAACGTGAAGCAAATACAAGACAATTTGTTGAAAGAGATAATCACACTTAATGCAGAAACAGAGTATCTCCAAGACTACCTTCATGGAAGCTCTGTTAAAGAGCTCTTCAAGAAGAACTTACCTATAGTCACCTATAAAGATGTGAAACCTTATATCGATCGTGTCGTGAATGGAGAACCATCTACTATAATATCGGCCATACCCACTACAACCTTCTTGCGAAGGTACACATAAGAGCTGTCTTGCCTCTAAAGTTTCTTTCTAATTTTGTGGTATTGGTTATGGTGTTTATAAGAAAAATCTAAGTGCTTTGAAACTGTTGTTGTAGTTCGGGAACTTCAGGAGGAGCACAAAACTATATACCATCCAATAACAAGTTCTTAGAAGGCTATGCATTCCTCTATGATCTTCGCATGCTCGTTATAAGCAAGTAAGTGCATATCATCTTACTCTATATGTTGATATTAAAATCAGAACCGTGTGATAAGTTTTTTTCCAAAAATGAAAGAAAATCTTGATATTCAGTTGCTGTTTTCGGCCAGTTATTAATCCGAATGTGTATGCGAAAAAAACTATTTTGTTTAAAAAATTGGTAAACCTAGGAACAGGTGAGCGTTACAGCAAATTTAGACTCATTAAAATTAGAAAACATAGGTGTTGGAAGTGACTTGGGCCACGAAAAAATAATTGGGCCAGAAAACAATTGGGCTATGACAAAGAAAGAAAGAAGTTTTGGGCCGAATCAGCAAAAGCCCAAAAACGGGCCTATTGATCTTGGAGAAGAAAAAAGCAGAAGTCATCATCTTCAACATTGTTTTTCGG